AGCCCCGCCGTCCACTCGCCGGCTGCTGACTCATGGTGGGCTCAGCGTGGGGTGGGAGTGGGCCGAGCCGGGGCCCCACCACTCCCCGGTGTGGTCTCCCGCTCTGGCCCGTGCGGGCTGGCCGGGGACCGTGAGCGGTGCCGGCCGGCGGGCTTGTTGCGAACTGGGCTGAGAGCCTCTAGTTGCGGGCTTTGGTGAAACCCGCTCCGGACAGGCATTTCCCGCCGTTGTTATCAGCACAGCCTGCTCGGGTGGGAGTGCGAGCGCTCTGCTCTTGGAGTTGCGTTCCGCGGGACGCTGGGAGCTGCTACTTCTCCCAGCCCCACCGCAGAGGCTCCACTACGAGGGGACCTCTTCCTGAGTGTGGTTTGAAATACCGAGGGGACACACACCTCACATTGGCATTTGGTTTGGGGAGGTGGCCAAGACGTTCCTCTGCCCCCGTGTAGGGTGTAAGCGAGATGTTTGGGGTGGGACCGCCCGGCTAGAGGAGATGACTAATCGCCCTAGTCTCCCTTATTGAGGTTGAAAGTGAGTTCGGGGAGTTAGTTGTCAGCCGCGGAGTTCAGGGAACTCTTTGGAACCGGCCGGCTGCACATTGCTGGAGAAAATTAAAGATAAATTTCTTAGCACTGTAGTATGATTGTCTTACGCCTTGCACACAACAGGAAAACTGAAATGGGAGCCCCAGCCGATCGCTTCCGACAGTTTTCTACTGGGATTCAGGTGTGAACAGAAATAAATTTATGATGACAGAGAGGGCTTTTAACATTCATGCATAAAGGGTTCAATTAGGGCAGGGGCTAGCTCTTCACTGCCCATGTAGTAATGTGACATTTTAAGTGTAGCTTGAGAAGATTAGAATCGTATCAACAAGTAGTATGAGAATGCACGTGTAGGTGGGACCTCCAGGATGTTGGCTTTTATGTTTACTCACTAGTTCGTTGGTACTGCTGAGTTGCCTGGAGGAAGGACAGTGACATAGTCTTGATGTCTTTATTTTGAGGCGGGGGTACTAGGAAAGAGGAAGTGATGCATCAGTGAATGGATGATATTGGTAAATAAAGGGTGTTTCAGTTTAAAGTTCTGGTCTTGACTTAAGTCAGTTACAGTTACAGAACCAGTATAACAATCACTGTTATGCATTATTTTTAGCCCGTGAATACGGACTATTGTTTAGAACTAATGTGAGAAGCATGGATTTTAATTTTGTGCCTAGTGCCTAATATTTTGTCTTTTATAAAGTAGGAATTATGGTAAACATTGTAATTAGAATATTTCTTGCTTACCCACTATATTAGGAGAGAGTTCACTGAAAGCTTCCCTGTTAGAGCAAGCTTGAGTCATGATGGTTGACAGCCTTACTTTTTCCGGACTCCATCATGGAGTATCAAAAGCTGGGTTTTGTCAAGTCATGATGCTTTGTAAGAGAAATGATAACTAGTGATGATCACTAAAATTATGACTACAAACTTGAAGAGGCTGTTCAATGTTTGAGTGGTGGAATAGTTATTATTAACTGTTGAAAGTGGAGCAGATAGCACAAAGTTATTTTAACAGGTCCTGAATCCCTTATAAAGTAGCACTCCCTCTTAAGGATCACACTGGAGCTTTGACAGGATTGCTTTTCCTGAATAGCTTTGTAGAATTGTTTATCCCTACACACCCATCAGCCAAGTTTATTGAAAGACCTTTGACTTTATAGTTACCAGTAACTAGGTCACTTGATTTTAGTTTGTGGCATGTAAATGCACAGGTATGTTTAGTATTTTCACGTAACATAGCGCCTAGCAAGGGGCCTCCCCCCACAAGTGTGAACAACTTGTTTTGTTGGAGTTCTGCACCAACTAAAGTGACTTCAACAGAAATCTCAGGGTATGTGGGTAAGGGAAATTCTAAATGGCAGAATGAAAAGTCACATTTAAAATTAAAAGGAATCCATTTTTATGATTTACACGGGGCATGTCCTAAGTGATCATCTTGCTTTTTCTTGTTAGAGGATTTTTGTTTGTTTTTTAAGGCTTTCTTGAATTTGTCTTTTGGCAACTGCTTAAATTTGTAATGGATCTGGTGAGGGTGAAATTTCCCTGAGTCCTCATTTTCTGTCAGAATTTTAAGAGGGTTTGCGTTTTCCTCTCCCAGTGAAGCGTGATATTCAGGAGAATGATGAGGAGGCCGTGCAGGTCAAAGAGCAGAGCATCCTGGAGCTGGGGTCTCTCCTGGCGAAGACTGGACAAGCTGCGGGTAAGAGCTGCGGATGGGTTGCTTTCTCTTGTACCTGAAATGCTGGGTGAAGTTTTGCTTTTTCGTTGGGGAGTGGAGGAACATAGGAATGCATCCACACAGTTTATTGATGGGGTAATTTGATTTTATGGCCAACTTGTTGAGCTTCAGTTTTCTATCAGGAAATTAAGAGGCCTTTAAATTCAGTTCTTTCATGGATGAGTTTTGTCCTGCAGATGAGGGGAAAATCCTGTTCCTATTGGGATATAGTGACCTGTGATTTGTTCCTGGTTTGGGTTTTCACTTCATTCCCTGACATGTGGTCAGCAGCAGCGGCAGTCTTCAGTGATTTCCACAGAGCTGTTCCAATGTGTTTAAGGTGGATAGTGACTCTAGGCCCCTGCCTTGAAAATGACTAGGGATTTTGTATCCAAGGAAGTGGCTTGCTGTTCTTTTTTCGTGATACACAATGAGTAAGAATGGAGAGAACCTCCCCAAGATTTCTCCACTGATACCTAGCGCTTTGTGCCTGTTGTTGCCTAGACTGAACTTTTGACTTTCCTGGCTTGAGATGCTATTCTGATGATGGGTGTGTCCTTGGAATGACAGAGTCCTATTGACCAGGAAGGGCCTTTGACCAGTAAAGTGGTAATAGTATTTAGAGAGAAGCCTGCTTAAATTTAAAATAGATGACTTTTGTCAACTTTAAAGTGAATTTAGAGCTTGTCTGATTAGAATGGATTAAGCTTTGGTAGTGACCTCATGAATTACTTTGCCCCAAATTATGTTGTTATCCAAGAGAATGATAGGTATAACTTAGCAAAACTTCTTGCACTTGAGAATAAGATCTTTCCCAGTTAAAGATGATAACTTATTAATTATTAGGCTCAATCAACAGAAAGTTGAGTAAAGTTTTATAAAATTGGGAGGATATGTTTATATGGATCTTGTATCATATTTAAAGTATTAAAAATACCTGTAATTTAAAAAAAACAGTTTTTGAGTGCTTACTATGATTTAGTTACTGGTTTAAGCAGAAACAGAATTTAGCTTATTGACTGCTCGAAACAATTTGGTAAGGTAGATACTGTTACTCATTTTATACCTGAGGAAACTGAGCACAGAAAAGTTAAGTATCTTGCTTAAGGGGACTCAGCTAGTATGTGGGAGAGTTAGGATTTGAATCCATGGATGGAGTCCTGCTTCAGCGCTCGTGACCTCGGGGCATAATGGCTGTTGCTTTTCCATCATTATTCACTTACGGGTTATCAATGGTAGGTGCTGGTTTTTTTGTGTTAGGCTGACTTGTTTCCTGTTTAATGTATTTCTGGATTCCTTTTGCCTGTCAGTTAATTTGAGCTTGAGGGTTGTAGAACAGTTTTGATAATTAGTGCACACAAAATATAATTAATGAGGTAATTTTCCTGAGATAATTAGAAAGCCAGGTGAAATGATTTTTCTTCTGTTGAACTATCCAAATGTCTGTTTTCCTCCAGTAGCATAGATAATTAAAAGCAGCATGTAGTATAGTCAGTGTTTCAGAAAATTTGTCCCAAAATGTTACTATTTTGCTTGGAATTCCTGTTGCATGCTTTACTCTCTCCTTATTCCTTGCCCTTCCCTGCCTGTGACCTATACCTGAGAAGTCTATAAGTGTACAGCTAAACCTATTGGAATTTGACAGATGAGTCGTTAAGAAGTTGCAAAAACATTTCCAGGTTCCTTGTCATTGTTTTCTAAGAAAGACTTTGATGAGTATAGTAAGGAAGCTTTGGGGCCTGTGTTCATTTACCTGTCTTTGCTATTAATAGTTGATCAGTTTGTGGTGTTTCCTTTGATTTTGGCTTTCCTGAGAACAGAAAATATGTCTGTTCTATTAATTTTCAATTTTGCTTTGTTATGCTTTTAGTATATGGCTAGCACTGCGCTATGTGCTCTACTTAGAAAATTTAAGAGAGGGTTCCTAACAGACAGCAGTCACTTGGGAATTAGTGAATACGACAATGTCTGATGGATAATAGTGACTGAAGATAGTGCTGATCATCGGCAGACGTGATGCCTCAGCTCAGGATCTGTCGATTTCATAGCCTGAGACTCTTAAAAGAAATATGTTGAATTCTGTGAGGTTCTGAAAAGGAATTTCTGGTCATACAGTTGCAAATAATTTCAGTAAGAATAGGATGAAGAAGTCAATATGATTCTATGAGAATTAAAAAAAAAGAAAACAGCATGTGTGAAAATGGAAAGAAATAGGGAATATGCCCAAGAATGAGTAAGAAACAGTAGTAGACTAAAATGAAAAATGAACTCTTTTGGCAACTGAGGGGTCACTTGTTTCTCTTTTGGAGTAAGAAGAATAGTGCTTGGAGAAAATACTGTAATGCGAGCAGATGCTAGAGAGAAGGGCAGACTTCTTAGCTCATGTTTTACTTCTGCCTTTTCCAGGAAGGAACATGATTTTCAAAAAAAAAAAGATAGAAATAACATCAGAGAGAGAGAATTAAAGCCAAAGCAGGTGAGAGGAGAGAATCTCTTTGAATAAGTTCAGGGCTCTAGGCTCTGACAACTTCTATCTTTTACTGTCAGAAGAATAGTTCTAGCAGGTGTATTTTTAGAACCACTATTATTCTGAGAAAAATCATGGAGGATGGAGAAGTGTAAGGAAACTGAGGATGGGCAGACATTATTCCACTTTTCAAAAAGGTAATGAAAAAAAAAATTCTAGACACTGTAAACTGGTAATCATCAGTAAAGTTCTGGGACAGGTTATTTGATAAGTAGGTTTTAATAACTTAAAACAGTGGGTTTATTAAAAATAGACTATTCCAGACTCACCTTAGCTCTCTTCGGTTGGCCTTATCAGACCAGCAGATCTATAGGGCTTCACAGACAGTGGCTTGTCAGCTGTTGTTGTAAATAAAGTTTTGTTGGAACATTGTCAAGTCCACTTGCTTACATAGCACCTGGGACTGCTTTTGCACTATGGTGGCTGAGTTGAGTACCCACCACTGAGACCATACAGCTCACAAAGCCAAAATCTGGCCCTTCCCAGAAAAAGTTTGCCAACCTGTGGGTTAGAAGAATGATACAGACTGCATGTCTGATGTAAGCAGGGTATTCAACAAGTGGATCATTTGTCAACCTGGAGGGATGTCTCTAGTACCGTGTCATAGGGGTTTGTCCTTGTTCTTCTGGTCAGCATCTGGCATTATGGCTAAAGCCGCGTCAGAAAGTACATGACTCAGTACAGTAGGGGACAGGATCAAGATTCAGAGTTAATCGCCAAAGGCCAGCAAGGTTAAATTCAGTATGGTAAGTATAAAGTTATATATGTATACTATTTATCAAAACAGGAAGCGGGGGAATTACCTGTCTATGCGAAAAGATCTTATGGACTCAGTCTGAACAAAGAGTGCTATCAGAAAAAGCGAAGCATGTTGTCTTGTGTTACATGTGGTAGTCCGATCAGGAGAATTAAGCTATGACTGTACTGGTCAGACCCTATGTGGAACATTGTTTTGGGTACCACAAGTGGTACATTTGCAAACTCGAGTTTATTCAGAGGAGGGCAGTAAGGTGATACGGAATCTAGAAACCAGGACATTGGATGAACAGTTGAAATAGCTAAAGATGTTTAGCTTGGAGAAAGGGAAAGTGAGTGAGATATGAGTGACAGTTATCTTCAGATACTTGAAGCCAAGTGGAAGGAGGGTATAGACTTGTGTTTCAGAAAAGAACAGTTTAGTTTGACCAACATAGGAATTGTCTGCTTTCTGAATATTTCTGTCACTAGAATTGTTCAGAATTGTTTAAGCATAGTAGGAAATGCTGTAGGAGAAGGCACATTGCACTAGACTACTTTTAAAAAACCATGATTATATAACGTAATTGAAGTTTGCACAAGTGCAAAAGGAATTGGAGGGAGAGAAATCAGTGTAGCCAGGAGTTGGCATGGAAGATTCAGTAGGACTTTGGCTGGATTTAAAAGGATATCTAAAATTTCCATAGATTGGGGTGATGAGAGGGATTCCAGGTGGGGGTGCAGCATGAGTGAGGCATGGAAGTCAGTACAGGGGTGAATGGAATGGCAGGATGGGAGAAAACTCTCAGATTGTGGGAATCACAGGTCAGCACTGGGGAGTGAAGAGGAAGATGAACTTTTCCACTCTGTATAAAGTTCCTTTTATACCTGACACAGTCCCGTGCATTCTGTGACCACTCAGGCAGGTGAGGATTTCAGGACCCTGAATTAGCGTTCTCAGGAGGGGGAGGTTTGCTTGCCCTGAATTAGAGTTCTCAGGAGGATGAGTCTACAATTGGAGAATATTAAAGAGGCAGTGGCACTAAGGTAATTTTAACCTACATTTCGAAAGTACTTCCTTAGTTGTTTAGTTGAAATATTCTCTCATTTTCATTCTTGTTTCTAAAGGTGCTCCCTTAGAATTAGTATACCATCCTCTTTTCTTATACAAGGGGAAAAAAAACCTCTGTGGTGGACACCTTTTCTGTCATAGTTTAAGATTTAGGTTTTGCAGATTAATGAGGAATTTTAAAAGGTATATTATAACTTTAAGGGGCAAACACTCTTAACTTTTATGTGAAAAGTTGATTCATAAGAGTGCCGTGGAAATGACATTGGTAAAAGGCTAACCCGGGGAGACTTGAGGAACGGAGGAAAAAAGGGAAACTGGAATGGAAAATCTGTTTAAGGGGAACAGCTAAGACAGACTTGGAAATTAAAAATAAAAAATTTACTCCTATACTGTGATAATTTTGTTGGTTGTGGGGAAGTGATTTTAGTCCAGAGTGGCAGAGACATAGATATTTCATGTTCTAGAAAACTACTCTTTGAGAGTGTGAATATTTTGCTGTTTATCTTTCATTAAGATGAGTAAATGAGACAGAGGCACACGAGCTTTTCCCAGGGCCCTCACAGTAATCCAGTGGCTAGTTTTTGTTGTTAACTTACTTTTGCAGCTCTGTTACCTGCTAAGAATGCTTTAAATTCCTACTAAGTTTCATTTTGACTTATTTCAGTGACATAAGTCCTGATTTTATGTTCTTGGGTATTTTTTAATTGGTATTTTGTCCCTAGTTATTGACGTATATTTTTCCTGTCTGAATTGCCTTCCACACAGAGCTTGGCGGACTCCTCAAGTATGTGCGACCCTTCTTGAATTCCATCAGCAAGGCTAAAGCAGCTCGCCTGGTCCGATCTCTTCTTGATTTGTTTCTTGATATGGAAGCAGCTACCGGGCAGGAGGTAAGCTACTTTAATAACAGAAGGTAGACAATATGGAGCAAAGTCTTGTTTCAGTGGAAGAAATGCCTGCACTGCGGTGCTAATGTGGAAGGGACAGCTGGGAGGCCAGCGCAGGACTTATCATATCAGTTTCTCTTTGTTACAGGGCATTTGATATTTTGGGTCTGTTCTATGCTTTGCTTTGTAAGTGGAGATTGTCAGTGGTCCCTGGAATCCTCATTACATCAGGGTCACAAACTGATTCTTGTCTTTGAGGTATTGTATTGCCACACCTTTGTAATGTTTTCTGTGTCTGTGGTACCTTTCATTCTGTGTCACAGAGCTCTTTGTGAGCACTAATTAAGTCTTGTGGCATCCCTTCTTGGCATATTTTGTGCTGCATTGACGCCTTTACTGAGGCGTGAGCATCCATCTGTGTGTGTCGCATGTGTGCGGAAGTGACTGGTATACCTGTACATGTCCTCTACAAGTTCAGAGGAGACCCTGAGATGTGTTGAAGGGTGCCTCTTTGGAATCACTGAGCCTCTTCCAGTTCTTTTCAAAGATTACTGTATTTTCTGCTGTTCAGAAGGAGATACTCCCAAAGTTAAAACTCATCTGTAAAATATGGCAGATTCAAGCAGGGTGTATGGTGGTTGCTTGAATGTCTTTGTAGGGAGAGTATAGTCTTTTCTATAGATGTATTGATGAGCACTCATTGAGCGCCTGCTATGTGTTAGGCACCGCTGCAGGTACTGGGGATGCGTTTGTATTAACATATAGTTACTGATCATGAGGATTACATTTTAATGAGGAAGGAAGGTAATAAATATATAAAATGTCAGATAGTATAAAGACAGGGGTAGGAATTGGTAGTTGGTTGTTTGCCGTAGCCTCTGTGGATGTAAAAAATACAAAAGGGCTTAGTGGATGTTTGGTAAATAATGAGGAACCTCAGAAACCTAGGACATATGGATCCCATTTTGAAATCATGTCTTTTGTAAAATGTGGTTTCTTGCTTTAATGATTCTGAAGCCTAGTTTAAATACCATTATCTAACTTTGTAGAAAATTCATTTGTTTCTGGCAGAACTGTTTCGTGATAGTAGATCAAAAGTAGATGATGTTTAGATGTCTGCCTTTTGAACCAAACTATTAGAATTATTTTTAAATTAAACTAATTGAAAAAGAAATTTAAAAGAAAAAGTGTTTTTTTTTAAAGGATATTAGTCTTATCTAACCCTAACTTTTTTTAAAATTGTATTCTCATGAAAAAGTGGTACTCCATCTTTTGTTTGAATTAGGGTGCCTTAGAAATGTCAGCTTGAAATAGATTAATAAATGTTACTCGGAACATTTTAAGTAGACAAAATTAATTATCCAGACTGCTGCTTTGATACTGAAGTCTCTGGAATTTGTCCCTTCCCATAACATGGAGCTGACTCAGTGGTTAAAACTACATTTGTGTAATGATCGGTTCTCCTACTCCTGAATCCAAATCATCCAGATCACAGTGTAGTACTCTCCTGTGGTTGACTGGTGGGCTTGGCTGGCCTTTATCATGTGGCTCCATGTCTGGTGAGGCCCTCCCTTTAACTGTGTGTGTACATTGCAGTTGTTCATCGTGCTTTACTTTTTTGTTGGCTGTAAACCTTCCTTCCTGTTCTAGGGTGGAGGGAAACACTCAGCTATTGTGTCATTTTATCATCAGTGTCATCTTAGTGCTAAGTAAGAGCTTTCAGGGTTTTTTTGTTTGTTTTTGATGATTAGCAGTTTAGCTTTTCATCAAGAGCCAGAGTCTTAATCCACTTAGCAGGACTTCTTTCAGTAATTATTGTGGATTTTAGGTTATTTGCTTGTTTTGGAACAAATTATGAATCATCCAGGTGGTTTTACCTGCACCTTAAACTCAACATAGCCAACTTCAGCATCCAACTATTTTATTAAATTCTGTCAGTGCAACTTTCTTCAGTCTCTCTTCTCCATTTCTTTTGTATTTATTCTCTGTACAACTACCATCTAGTTTGGGTTCTAATTATTTCCTTTCTTTCCCCTGAAGTGTAGTTGATGTAAAGTGGGCTCTTAATTATTTCTTTCTTAAACTACTGCAGAAGCCTCATAGCACCATTTTCAGAGGTATCCTACCAAGTAGCCCTCTGAACATTTTACTCCTCTCCCTGTTCACCCCACCCTTCAGCAGCTCTCCATTGCCCACAGAACTAGGTATTTCATGTTTTTCTACAATATGACTGAGCACAGCAGCCTCATTGCCTGATATTCTGCGAAGTGTACCAGCCATGTCCGCCATGTTGGATACCTGGCTGTTTGCTGAGCAAGCCCTGAATGTTGTCATGATACACCCTTCCCTTCTGTGGTCCCGTCTTGAGTTCCATCTGCTCCAAAATCTTCCCTTATTGACATCACTGTGATCTTAACTCTTTCAGTGATCCACGTTGTATTTTGTACATTATATTTCTGATTATTTGGCTTTGTTTGATGGTCACTTGAACATTTTTTTTATCTTCTTTACTGTAACATAGTCTCATTGAGATGAAGCACTGTGTATCTAGTACCACAGTGCCTTTCTCATTCCTAATTCATGACTGTTCCTTTAACCAAGGCTATAGCTTTAAACTGTTCTAGCCTTGAGGCATTTGTTTTTAGATCTTTTTAAATTGAGTTATAGTCATTTTACAATGTTGTGTCAAATTCCAGTGTAGAACACAATTTTTCAGTTATACATGAACATACATATATTCATTGTTACATTTTTTTTTGCTGTGAGCTACCACAAGATCTTATATATATATTTCCCTGTGCTATACAGTATAATCTTGTGTATCTATTCTATATATGCCTGTCAGTATCTACAAATTTTGAACTCCCAGTCTGTCTCTTCCCTTCTTGGCAACCCCTTCCCCCTTGGCAACCACAAGTTTGTATTCTGTATCTGTGAGTCTGTTTCTATTTTGTATTTATGTTCTTCTATTTTTTTTTTAAGGGTTCCACATACGAGCGATCTCATATGGTATTTTTCTTTCTGTTTCTGGCTTACTTTACTTAGAATGACATTCTCCAGGGGCATCCATGTTGCTGCAAATGGCGTTATGTTGTCGTTTTTTATGACTGAATAGTATTCCATTGTATAAATATACCACCTCTTCTTTATCCAGTCATCTGCTGATGGACATTTAGGCTCTTTCCATGTCTTGGCTATTGTAAATAGTGCTACTATGAGCATTGGGGTGCTAGTGTCTTCTTGATGTAGGGTTCCTTCTGGATGTATGCCCAGGAGCGGGGTTACTGGGTCATATGGTAAGTCTGTTCCTAGTCTTTCTTTTGAGGAATCTCCATGCTGTTTTCCACAGTGGCTGCACCGCCTTGGGGCATTTTTATACATCTTGGTTGCTCTCAGCCTGATCTTAACACAGTTGTTTTCTTCATATCATTTCATGTCTTCACTTATATCTCATTCCTCAGAGACCTTCCTTGATCACCCTGTCTAAAATACCCTATCTCTGCTTTACTTTTCTTCATATTTATTTTACTTACTAACACCTGTTTCCTACTTAGACTGTAAGTTTCATGAGGATCACTCCTGTGTCCTGTTCACTGCTGCATCTTTTGCACTGAGAGTAGTTTGGCTCAGAGAAGCTACATAACTAGGATTTGTTGAAGGAATGTATGGATTATGCCCTCTTCATGGTAGATGCTCAGGGGATAGTTTGTTGAATTAAGACTAAGTTTATTGACTTCAGATATAATAAGCTTAGGGCATTGTTACTTCATTTGTCTATGTGACTCAATAAATAGAAAATTGAGTATAGAAAATTGAGTATAGATCTACAGAACACTCTTCGGCTTGCCATATTCCTAAAACTGATAAGATTCAGGTTAGGTTCTAGTTAATTGCAGTACTTAGGTTTAGAGCCTAGAAAATGAGGATATATGTTGGGTGGAGTGGGGAGTGAGGACTGGGGTGGTTGGCCAAGGGAGGGGAGTAGAGAATTGGGATCAAGAGGGGAGAAAGAAGACTGAACCAGACGCTTGCCAAATAGTGAACTGAAATTCCAGAATTAATTTTACCTTCCAGGGATCTCTAGGGAGTTTCTGTGGGAAGCCATTTTTTGGTGTAGTCTATCCAAATGGAACACAGTAGCACCTTTTAAGAAACCTTACATCAAAAATTGTATTACCAAAACAGTTATTTCAATGCAAAAAGGGAGTTTGTGATAGAGAATTTCAGACTTAGAATAGTAGTTAATTTTTTCCCTTAGAAATTTAGCTAATATAGGCATTTAAAAAATGGTTAAGTGTATTGATTTGAAACTTAAATATCCAGTTTTGACCATGTCAAGCTTTTGGACTCAAGTAAGGGCTTCCTCCAGAAGCATGGGCCTCCTGTGTATTCTTATCCCCTTTCTCAGTCATTGTTAGCATTAACAAAGCACAAAGCCTATCATACAAAATAGCTGTGTAGCAAGGGCAACTGGCCTTTAAAATCTTTTCCTAGAACTGAAGCATTGGTTCCACCAGTTACAGTCCTAGATATTGCAAATATCTGTACCCAGTAATTGATGACAGATACACAGTTTATGTTGTAAAAATCTTCTACTCTAGGAGAAATGTCTGTATTGACCTGAATTTATTAAGCCTGGGTTGAGATAGAAAGAGCACTGAAGGAAGAATTGAGTTCAGGTCCCAGCAGCTGAACTTGGGCCAGTACTTAACATCCAGACTATGAGGGAAACGGGGACAGTGAGATGCTGGAATAGAATCCGGGGCCTCTTTAACAAGGGCTGTACATCAGCACGGCCAAGCTCTTACTCCAGACTACTGAATCAGGAGCCTTGGCATTCGTTGCTGTATTGTTTGAAAAAGCTCCCTGGGTGAAACTGATGGCAAGCATTTCTTAGCTCCCTGAGTCATGTAGGACTAAAGACTTTTATTTTTGTTTCTAAAAGTAGTCAGCAAAATATTTTCATTTCTATTCATGTCACAAAGAGATCTTATATTGAGTTTGACTTTTTAGGACATAACTCAAAACTCTGAAATTGTGATTGGTTTGCTTTTATTTTAGTTTTTGTAGAATTTATGAGGGCAGTTGAGCCGAGAGTTGGAGATTAAGTAGCCACCAGGGGGCTCTAGTGAGTTGTAAAGAGTTCATTGAATCTCTTAACTCGTGAAGCCTCCAAATTCCATGTAATGTCATCCATTTATCTGCTGAGCTTGGACTTAGGATCTAAAGGCAGAAGGTCTGTCAATTTGGATTATGTCCCTTCACTTTTCCCTCATAACATCTCTCAAGAGAACTTTGGATTTAGATGAAAACTTGTATTAGCGATTAGTTCTGTGGAAAGCTCAGTTTCTTTTACCTTATGCTCTGATTATGAATCTTAATATAAAATTTGGAGTAACAGAAGGGATACAAGATCTGCAGCACTTAATATGTTCTTTGTCACAGCTAATGTGTCAAGGATACCTGATGGTATGTCGACCATCTAGCACAGAACACTACTTTAAATCGGTTACTCTACATGTTACAGTATCGCTTGGGTAGCAGATAGAACTTAGATAGCCTTTAAATAAAGCTTAAAAGCCCTTTTAGGTGTTAGGCTAATTCTGATTTCTTTTTACTCCCTTTAATACAAGCTAAGTCTGCTGTGTTCTGATAGTGAGTTGTTAGTTGGCATTTCTTAGAATCTGAAAGAGAAGAGCCAGCTGGGCCTTTTGAGTCTTACAGGCAACTGTTAGGAATAAGACACCTGTGCCTAGGCTGAGAATTTCTCCTCTTTATGACCAGTGTATTCACATTAATATATTACTGTTACTATTCAGGGAGAAATTTCTGCTTTACAAATTCCTCAGACATCATAGAAATCTTCACTCCAGAGCTAGTGTGTTGGAAGTTCTGGATCCTTCCTGGAAAGGTAGAGGAGGAATCTTGAAGATGAAGCTCTTTCCTAAAGGAACACAATCTAAGTACAAAGATACTTTGTGTGTAAAAAGCCAAGTTGATTCTCCATTGCGATATAACCATTATATATTGAGATACTGTGGATCAAGGCATGTCCTGTGAGACATGGGTAATGTATAAGGAGGGAATGAAAGGTGTTCTCCAAAGCGAGGTTTATGGGAAGAGTGTGGGGACATAATGCTGCATGTACTGTCTCCCCCTGTTGCAGGTCGAGTTGTGTTTAGAGTGCATCGAATGGGCCAAATCAGAGAAAAGAACTTTCTTACGCCAAGCTTTGGAGGTATGTACCTACAGTAGTACTGCTTTCAGTTCTCTTAGGCATTTGACAGTCTGTGAATGTAAGTTAACACTATCCTGATCAAAGGTATTTTCAGCAGTTTTGTACTACTCTGGCACCCAAAATTATTGGTAGTAGTCCCACTCATGAGAATTGCTCTAGTTGAAGTTTTGAGACAGCTAGCAGTACCTAGCTCAGAGAAGTAAGCAGCAACATGGTAAACAGTCACTGGCCATAATAGGAGATAATACTGTGGACTAGATGATTTTTTAGGCTGAATTTGATGCTATCATCAGGCCTTGAATATTCAACAGTAACAGTTCTGTGACTGTCAATCTTTGATTTCTTTCTTTGGCTTTTTTTATCCCCTTTCCATCAGTCAATGCCTTTTCTTTTTCCTAGGCAAGACTGGTGTCTTTGTACTTTGATACCAAGAGGTACCAGGAAGCGTTGCATTTGGGTAAGTAAACTGGTGGAAGCTAATAAGGCCTCCAAACTGGCTAAATGAATGTGTTCTGAACCTAGCTCCTCTTATTAGTTATGTATTAGTAATTCAGTTTGTGCCTGCTTCTAAGGATTTAAGGTGGCTTACATTTACTGAATCTGTCATGGAGAAACGCCATTTAGACGTTCTGAGAAACTAGAGTTGATCTGTGAATTTTAGAGAACGAAAGGGTCAGATTGCAAGTGTTTACTGACTGTCACATTTAGACTCTCTGTTTATAATTATCCTTATAATCTATTTTAAACATCAAGAAATTAATTGAGTGCAAATACATAAGGAAGCTGAAGTGGGCCAACTAAAGGCTATTCCCATTTGACCTTTATAAATATTCTGAAATCTTTGCGTGCTTTTTTTTTTCTTTTCATTTTTTAAATTTATTTATGTATTTTTTTTTACAATGCCGTATTTTTAAAGTGAAGTATAGTTGAGGTACAATGTTATATGTTACAGGTATACAATATAGTAATCCACAATTTTTAAAGGTTATAATCCATTTATAGTTAATATAAAATATGGGCTATATTCCCCATGTTGTACAGTATATCCTTGTAGCTTATTTTATACCTGATAGTTTGTGCCTCTTAATCCTCCTCCTCCATCTTGCCTCTCCACCTTCCCTCTCCCCACTGGTAACCACTACTTCCTTCTCTACATCTCTGAGTCTGTTTCTTTTCTGTTATATTCACTAGTTTGTTGTATTTTTTTAAATTCCACATGTAAGTGAATCTTACAGTAATGTCTTTGTCTGTCTGACTTACTTCACTTAGCATAATGCCCTCCAAGTCCATCCATGCTGTACACCAGAAACTAATACATTTTAAATCAACTGTACTTCAATTGAAAAGCAAACAAACAACCAGCCCATCTAAAAGATGGGCAGAAGAACTGAACAGACATTTTTTTTACAAAAGGAAATGAATATGGCCAACAGGAACATGAAAAATTGCTTAACATCACCAATATCAGGGAGATGCAAATCAAAATCACAATGAGATATCTCACACCTGTCAGAATGGCCCCTATCAAAAAACAAATAACAAAGGTTGGCAGGGATGTGGGAGCCCTTGTACACTGTTGGTGGGAATGTAAATTGGTGCAGCCACTATGGAAAACAATATGGAAGTTTCTCAGAAACCTATAAATAGAACCAGCATATGGCCCAGCAGTTTCACTCTTCGCCATATATCTGAGAAAAACAAAAACATTGATTCAAAAACAAAAACAAAAGAATACATACAATCTGCTATTCACAGCAGCATTATTTATAATTGCCAAGATACAGAAGCATCCTAAGTGCACATCAATAGATGAATGGATAAAGAAGATGTAGCATATATATGTGATGGAATACAGCTCACCCATAAAAAAGGATATTTTGCCATTTGTAGCCCTTCACTTTTTTTTTTTCACTTCTAAAACCAGAATTTTATAACTGTCTGCTGCTTTTTTAAAAAAACCTAATGGGTACCTCTGGACTATTATCCCTGAATGGAAGAACTTGGCTTTCATGGTCTATTAGGTTGAGAAAAATGACAAGATTCAATTTTTATCCTGCAGAAATGATAATTTCATATGGTTTAAACAAATAGTAGCATTAAAAAAAGTTGAGATATAATTCATAGGCCATAAAATTCACCCTTTTTAAAGTGTGCAGTCCAGTGGTTTTTAGTATATTCACGAAGTTGTGCAGCTGTCACCACTAACTGATTTCAGAGCATTTTCATCACCCCAGAAACTAACCTTGTATCCATTAGTTGTCACTTCCCATTAGTTCTCCATCTACTGTCTTTGCCTGTCCCCTTTCCTAGGCAATCACTAATTACTCTTTGCCTCTGTAGATTTGCCTATTCTGGACATTTCACATAAATGCATACAGTTACGGTCTTTTGTGATTGGGTTCTTTCACTTAGCATAGTGTTTTCAAGGTTCATCCATGTTGTGGCATATAGCAGTGCCCCATTCTTTTTTGTTGCTGAATAATATTCCATTGTATAGCTGTACAACATTTTATTTATCTACATTCATCAGTTGATGGACATTTAGATTGTTTCCACTTTTTGACTCTTGGGAATACTGCTGTGAACAGGTTTTATGTGGACATGTTTTTCTTTTGTGTATATACCCAGGGGGAGAATTGCTGGGTCACAAAGTAAATCTGTTTAAAAGCTTTTGAGGAACTGCCAAACTGTTTTCCAAAGTGGCTACACCATTTTACATTCTCAGCAATAATCTATGAGGGTTCCAGTTTCTCCACATCCTCACTAACACCTGTTAATATTTTCTTGTCTTTTTAATTTTGGCCGTCTTAGTGGGTGTGACGTAGTATCTCACTGTGGTTTTGAATTACATTTCCCTAATGACTAAACTAATGATGTCGAGCATCTTTTCATGTACTTTTTGGGCTGTTTGTATATCTTTGGAGAAATGTCTATTCAAATCCATTGCTTATTTTTTAATTGTATTAGTTGTGCTTTTATTATTTATTCTGGATACAAGTCCCTTACCAGTTATATGATTTGTAAATTTTTTTTCCCTGTCCTATAACTTGTTTTTTTCAATTTCTTGATGGTGTCTTTTGAAGAACATTTTAATTTTGATCGTCTCATTTTTTTTCTTTTGTTGCTTATGCTTTTGGTATCATATTTAAGAAATCATTGCCTAATCTAAGATCACAAAGACTTACTCGTTTATTTTATATATTTAGCTCTTACATGTAGGTCTTTGATTCAGTTTGAGTTAATTTTTGTATATGCAAGTCTGGCTGGATTTGATTTTCATCTGTGCTGGGGAAGAAGGTGTATTTGGAGAACATTAGTAGGTGCAGAACTCTTTCCTTCCCCCACCAACCCTAGTGCCTGGTGTTTCTTATTCAGTCTTGTGTTTGCTGGGTGGAAGAGAGTGAGATCAGGTACCTGTCTGGATAAGTAGTTTCAGCATTTTCTGGGTGGGGATTCCCACTGTATTCAATCTTAAGAGTAAGCTTATAGGACTCTCGGCTCTGATGTCCCTTGTGTGCATGCAGAAGGGCTTCAGAGAGATCTGTGTTTCTCTTTTGGAAGATAGCACATTAGCAGAAAATTTAATTCTTGTAAATAGATAACCTTTTGTGAGGTTTTTGAGTTCAGGCAGGTTTCTTTATCCTGAATGTGTTTGTGAGGGTTAGTTAGAGAGAGATGATATTAAAGTATTAAAATTATGGCTAATAAAGGAATATATATATATTTTTCCTTTCTCCAGGTTCCCAATTGCTGCGGGAGTTGAAAAAGATGGATGACAAAGCCCTTTTGGTGGAAGTACAGCTTTTAGAAAGCAAAACATACCATGCCCTGAGCAACCTGCCAAAAGCCCGAGCTGCCTTAACCTCTGCTCGAACCACAGCAAATGCCATTTACTGCCCCCCTAAATTGCAGGCCACCTTGGATATGCAGTCAGGTAACACCCGTAGCTGTTCTTGGAATGTTTTCTTAAAGCTCCTCTTACCCCATAGGTGGAAGGAATGGGGGGTTGGGGCTGGAGAATAAAATTGGCAGTTTGGCTCACGATTCCTCAGAGAAACCAATTGCAAGACTACTTCTCTAGCTGTCCCTTTTCTATTCACTTGCTGTTTACTGCCTGAAATATATTAAGAACATGCTTAATCTGTGGTTGACTGGACAACCTGACTGTTAGAGCCAACACCCTAGTGAGGTCTCACTTAGGTTTAAAAAGATCTCCCGTAACTTCCATCTTAGTCACTCAGGATGGTAGCACTTCTCTCCAGGATTGGACTAATTCAAGTCTGTTATCACTTGGAGACCTTTGCAAAGCATGTTGGATTTTTCCAAAGGGCCTCAAATCAAGGCTGAGGAAAGACACCCCTCACCCCCATTTCAGTTGAGAGTAGTGGACAGCTTTCTGATGGAGTGTGTGAATGTTTGGCTAGGAGGCCATGGATTGGCAGGAAGATACTTTTTCTTATCGTCATCAGCTTTTATTAGTTATAATTTATTATCATTGGAGGAGCGTTGGAATTGAAGGCCGAGGACTAGTTTAAGCCTTGGTGTCACCTCGTTGCAACTTTTGTTTCCATGTAACACTGTGCAAGAGAGATAATAGCTGCCATGCCTGCCTCTCAGGTGTTGTGAGTATGGAATGGCGTGTTTTGCCATGCAGAGGTTAAGAGCAGAGGCTCCAGAAAACAACTTTTCTGGTTGGAATTTAGTTCTGCCAGTTTCTAGCTATGCGACTGGGCAAGGTACTTAATTTATCTTGAGCCCGTCTATGAAATGGTGATGATAACTCTGCCCCCTCACAGTATGTTGGTGAGGACTGAAGTGAGGTGGAAAGTGTCAGCTCTCATCCCAGCACCTTGCTTTGGCCAAATACTGGCACTCTCTTTAAGCCGCTTCTCTTCATTATGCTCTGGCTTCATGGTCAAGAGATGAACTTGCATCCTGTTTCTTAAATAGAGGCCATTTTTATGTGAACCCTCTTTATTTCTCTTTCCAGAATTTGTATCACTACCTGTTTTTACCTGTTACCAAGAGTGGTTCTTCTCCCTGTCCTTTTGTTCGATTCTAAGTCTTTGTTTTCCTTTTCCACTTGGATCCTCCTCTCAGTCTTCAAACTGCCCCAGCTGAAAAGGCACAGCTGTGTCTCCTTTTTAAATTGCTGTCTTCTCCTTTTCTGTCAAGCTTCTTGAAAAAAGTTGAAAGAATATTATTACTTTGAGTTTTTATCATAAATGGATGTTGAATTTTATCAAATGCTTATTCTGCATCTGTTGAAATGATCATGTGATTTTTGTTCTTTCTTTCGTTGGTGTGGTGTATCACACTGATTGATTTCCGTATGTTGAACCATCCTTGTGTCCCTGGGATGAATCCAGCTTGATCATGGTGTGTGATCTTTTTTATATGCTGTTGGATTCTGTGTCCTAATATTTTGTTGAGGGTTTTGCATCTATGTTCATTAATGATATTGGCCTGCAATTTTCCTTTTTGGTAGTATCTTTGTCTGGTTTTGGTATCAGGGTGATGGTGGCTTCATAGAATGAATTTGGTAGTATTCCCTCCTTTTCAATCTTTTGGAAGAGTTTGAGAAGGATTGGTATGATCTCTTCTTTGTATGTTTGGTATGATTCCCCAGTGAAGCCCTCTGGTCCTGGACTTTTGTTTGTAGGGAGGTTTTTTCCATTGCTGATTCTATCTCATTTCTAGTGATCAATCTGTTCAAGTGGTCTATTTCTTCTTGATTCAGTCTTGGTGAACTGTATGTTTCCAGAGACTTGTCCATTTCTATGCTGTCCAGTTCGTTTTCATATAGTTGTTCATAGTATTCTCGTGTGGTTTTTTTGTGTTTCTCTAGTATTGGTTGTAATTTCTAAGGATATTATTACTTTGATTTCTCTATTAACTCCTTGAAAGATAGTAACTCCCCCCAACCTCTGACTTTTGGGGAGATTTGACCCTGTTGAGCACTCCTGGCTTCTCTGACAGCCTTGTCTTCTTGGTTCTCTTCTCTTGACTGCTCCTCCTCAGTCACACTTTGCTGTTTCGTCTTCCTTCTGATGTGTCTTAAGTGTGGGTGTGCTCAGTGTTATTTTCTCAGTTCTTTTCCCTTCCTGTCCTTCTCCCTTTTTCCTGTCTCACCCTGCACTCTCCCATGGCTTCAGCTGCCATGTAGCACACGAACCGTCTCCCCCCTAGAGCTTCAGTAGCTTGTCTCCTAAATCCCATTTCTAAATGTCTCACAGGTCTCAATCTCAGCATGTCAAAACCAAGATTGTTACCTAACCCTTCTCCCCTCAAACCATCCTTTTCTACATATCCTGTTTTAGTTAGTGGTGTCATTGATGCAGCTGCTCAAGCTATTATCTTTGAGGTAATTTTGACTCCCTTCCTCTCCTTCACCCTTCATATCCAATCAGTTGCCAGATCAGGTTGAGTCTGTCTCCAAATCTGCACTTTCTTTTCCATCTCTGCAGTCACTGCTCTAATCAATGCCACTGGACCACTGGAGTAGTCTTTTACTAATCTGTCACTTTTCCCAGTCCATCTTCTCTACTGGTCTTAAAGTCATGTGTCTGAAACACAGATCTGATCATGTAACTCTTTTGTTTAAAATTTTCCAAAGGTTCCGCATTATCCCCAGGCTGTTTTACTTTAACAATGCATTCTAAAGGGAGGCTTTCTTTCCTTTTCGTGCTCATCTCCGGTTTTCAGTCCTAGCCACCAAATGACTTCATGTATCCCTGCTTCTGTGCCTTTATATATTTTGTCTTTCTGCTGGAATTCTGCTTTTCATCTTGTCCCCTTGGCAAACTGGTCTGCATCCCTTCAGATCCAGCTCACATGTCTCCTTTATAAACCCACTTCAGTGCCTCCTTTACTTCGGACTTCCCTATGAAAGGTATATTCTTTTGTACATATTATGGTACAGGTCTCCTTGTTACTGTTTTGATGACCGTCTTTCCAACTGTGAGACTAGGATTTCCTTCAGGGCCTTATAATTACTGCCTCAATAATAGTCATATCAGTGCTTGGCACATGGTAGGCCCTCATTAGTATCTGTGTTGAATGTGTCTAACCAGCTATGATGCATGTCATCCTAATGTGGTCTCTATTTGCTAATGTGTTTGGGAAAGCAGTATTCCAGTTCTTGGGCCTTATTTTACTTTTTCCCCCCTTTTTAAACCAGTCTTACTTTGGGTCTGGTGTGTGCTCTTCACACTTTGGACTGGGAGGAGTGGAAAAACGGGAGTTTGTCTCACGTAGTTCATCAGTGTTAATAGTTTGTTGGGTATTTTTGAGGGAGGTCCCCTTGACTGCAGGTTTTCTCCAGGCCTCTGTAGTTAAGAACAGTAGTAGAAGAAGGAGTTGACTCCTTCAGCCTCAAAATGGGAGGCTTTTTGGGTGGGGTGAAAGTACTGGGGTGTGGAACATATCACTCACTAATGGTTATTAAGTCAGAAGTTTCCAGCTGGCGTGCCAGGCACACAGGTATGTGACAGGTGGGTTGAAAGTATGCTCAAACAGTGATCCCTTGAGGTCATGTGTAAGGAGTTTCATCCTTTCACTCCGGTGTGCTGAGTACTTCCTACATGTACCTTGATGTGAAAAAGCTGGGAAGCCCTGTGGTGAACAGATGGATGGGACTAAGGCAGAGTGAGAACTAATATACAGAATCTTAGGGCTTCGATGCCTCCCAAACTAGAAAGAGCCAATTTTCATGTCATCCCAAGTCATAGCAGAGGTTAGAAGGAATAGCAGGTTTAGTCAAAGCCAGGCTTATTGGGAGCAACCCAGGTTCTAAACAGTAGAGAATTGATCAGATGAAGTGTAATGTATCAGCCTAAGGAAATACTGCTTTACTGTGTACAGTCAAGTTCATGGATTTGGCATTGCACACAATCTACACACTGATTGCATCAAGGCAAAAGCACATCCATAAATGACCAATATCTAAAATGAGAATATTAAAAGTTGGATTTCTGTTTCTCCCATGAAAGCTGCTTACAGTTAAAAACGTCAAGCTTAGAAAAGCTTTCTTAAAGGAACGGTTGATGTTATTAAAAGAGGTAATTTGTACAGACCAGGGATGTTTGGGTCAACTTCCTGACCTATGAAGATAATGGCCTTTTCTGGTGGCTCTAAAAGGTAGGACTGCTGTGATGGTGAGAAGCCTGAGAAAGGTGTTATTGTACGCGGTTTTTAGGATCCTCTTTAGTTGGGCCTCTAACTTCTTTGGAATTAATACTTGCAAGATGGCACTGAACTGGGAGGCCAAAGACCTGGGTTCTAATCCCAGCTCTGCCACTAGATGGCAGTGATTTGGGCAGGTCCTTTATCCTTTCCTGACCTGATGAATAAGTCGGCTGGGATAGATTTCTGGGATCTATTCCAGGGTGGGATAGATTTCTGAGGCCCTTCCCACCTGTGAGATTTTGTGGTTCTTTTATTTTATATGGTTCTCACTCCTTTCTTTTAATGCCCAGGTATTATCCACGCAGCAGAGGAGAAGGATTGGAAAACGGCGTACTCATATTTCTATGAGGCGTTTGAGGGTTATGACTCCATCGATAGCCCCAAGGCCATCACATCTCTGAAGTACATGTTGCTGTGCAAAATCATGCTCAACACGTAGGTGCACGTTAACTTTGGGATATGAGAACTCAAGTCCTTTATCTAGATTTTCCTGCTGCAGCAGAGATGGCTTGGGCAGGGCATTTGGCTAGGTACAGAAGCAGCACCTGCTGCCTCGTGGGGCTGGTTGAGGTGGAGTGGGAGGGTTGACAGTAATTGAGAATACTTTTGCTCGCTGATGTTTCAGATTCGGGGAGACAGATTTTAGAAATCTCTTCCCCAGCCCCTCCTCTTTGAGTATTCTCCTCCTCTTACAAATATTCTGTCCAGAGAGTTGCTGAGCACAGGACAGAGGGCCAAGAAATAGCTTACAGACTAGCACCAGCCATGGGGCCACCCAGAATGGGTGTGGATAAAGGAAGAGGTTAGGGAGGGGTTTGAAAAGCTGGCAATGGCAAATGTGACAGATCTTTTTATAAAGAATTCTACAGAATTTATCCACATTCTTTTGGGAATAAATGAGATACTGACTGGGATTCTGTTTGGATCTTAGGAGTGTATAGGGCTTGTGTTTTAAAATGACCTATTATACTGTGATTGGATTTATACTTACCATTTTGCCTGTTGGGTCTTTGGCTTTTGGTAGGTTCATTGTGGCTTTCTTTTTAATGTGGAGTTTTTCTGCTCTTCAGCACTGAGCGCAGAGTGGAGAAAGCCTGGCTTCTGTGGTGTAAGGGGCCTGTGGGGTTAGGGGTGGGGGCTGATTACCTCTGTGGGCAGAGTCTTTTCAGTGGGAATTTTGAGAAAAAGAAATTTGCCTTTACATACACTTAGAAGCATAACATCCTGGAGCAACTGACCAAGAATGTCTTCTTTTCTAGCCCAGAAGATGTCCAGGCGTTGGTGAGCGGGAAGCTTGCACTCCGGTATGCGGGGCGGCAGGTAGGGGCGCCTGGGCTGCGGCTCTGATCTCTGCTCGCTCTCAGGCAGCGTGTTGTCCAGCGTGGTGTGCGGTGAGACCATGCTCTTCCGACCTCCGTTCTGCTCTTCATTCTTTCTTACCTCTCTGTTTTCCTTAAGCTCATTCAGTATATTTCCTGTACTGTTAATTCTTGGCTTGGAAAATCAGTGTTTGATGCTCTTCTGGGTATCAGTCAGTTTGAGAGACTTACAGAACTCAGAATTGAACTGTAGCATTTTCAGTGAGTTAGGTTGCATTTAAGTTTCACCAGAAAATGTATCTCCTGTGCTCTTGGCTTGCAAAGTTGACATGCGCAGAATATGAAGTCTTGGGTTCTCTAAGAGTCTGGAGCCCAGTAAGCTCAGGTGCACGTTTGCTTTAGGGAAATTGGATTGCTTGGTGCAGAGACTAGGTTTTGATGACGCATCAAGTGCTTCTCACATCAGTACCTTTCTACTCATGTCCTGAGTTTTGCGTGTGGTGCAAGAAGAGGCCCTTGGTGGTCGGTAGCCCTATTTGTGGTGCCTCTTATACCTGAGTAGGTGAGAGTGACCTGTATAAAGACGATGACTCAGATGTGCGCACCATCACTTCTTTGTACTTGCTTGATTATCACTAGTGAAGTAACAGTAATCTTCTAGATTCAACTGCACTTGACTCTGAACAGCAGACACATTGGCTTTCTCACTGTATCTTTGGCAGAATGTCCACAGCAGATGATTTCTTCCTGCTCCACCAGTGGCCCTAATTGGCTTTTCATTAGAAAAAGTTTCAGATTAGCTCCTAGTTTTGACCAAAAGAATACTGGTTTATTACTGTAGTGAAAAACTCACTGTAATATCTAGAACTAGAGTTGAGGAGATGGGCTAGGAGGGATCCGGTGTCCAGAACAAGGTCAGGTAACTAATAATGGTGAAGCCAGACTTTGATCTTGGGTTATCTGGTTCTAAGTTTCAGGCTTTTCTCATTATGACGTTTGTTTTGTTTATAGGACATATGCTGAAAACAAACTATATTAATGATGAGGTTTGCACCATTTTTAAAGTCTCCTGTATAAGACACACTCTCCTTATTTAAGTGCATGGGCTGGTATAAGAGAAGGTCTTTCTGTCCTTTGCACTTGGATGAGAGATTTCAAGCAGGAGTCAGGCCCATCTCTAGAAAGATGAATGTAGATTTCTCACTGAGTAGAGATCTGATAGCTTGGTCAGGTGCCTTTTATAACCAGGTTAGAAGTTGCCCCTCAACCGTTGATTATACCTTCGTCACTCTGGGGTTTTAATATTCAGCATAATATGTAGAATTTTGATGCCTCAGCCTCAATGAAAGTAGACTGGCCTGTGCCGTGCACCAAACCCAGCAGAATGAGGCTGGATAAAGCACAGGTGTGATCAGGTCTCAGGGCAGGAAGGCATTTGGGGGGATATGGTGATAGGGAGTCTTCGAGGAGGGGAAAGAAATCACAGTTCCCTGGCCGGCTTCCCTTTTAGCTTGTCCTTTTTGGAGAGTGCTGTATCAAAATCTGTTTTTTGGAAAACTTTCTATTTCCTAGTGTTTTTAAGTTGCTTCAGATTTCAAAGGGAAACCGGTTGGCACACATTGGTATTTTTCTAGGTTTTCTTCCCAGGCCTCCAAGAAGAACAGTGGTGGGGCAGGTTCTTCTCTGCAGCCAGAAGTTGTGCGGACATAGCATGTTTCTCCCCGCAGCCCCTCGCGTGTTTCTTATGAGACTTGTTGGGATGTGAGTGTGCAGAATAGGTCACTTTCACTATTTTTCTCTTTATTCTTAGACAGAAGCATTAAAATGTGTGGCTCAGGCTAGCAAGAACAGATCACTGGCAGATTTTGAAAAGGTAAGCATGGAATTGAGTTGGTAGGGAGTGGGTGGGGGAGAGAGGTACTTTAAAAAAAACTTTCTTTAAAAATCTTAAATGATTATAGTTTCACAAGAAGTTGCAAAGATAGTACAGAGTGATTCCATGTACCATTCACCCAGCTTTCCCCTGTGGTAACATCTTAACTATAGTACAATGTCAAAATGAGGAAGTTTAAGCACTTTTGTACAAGGAACCTTTTTTGAGTTGTGATATCTCATTTATGAACTGTACCTTTCAGTGTCAAAAAGTTGTCATCCTTCTTTTGCTTGAGTTTTCACAACACACTGTTAGCTGCATTTTATACTTGGGGGAGCTGGGATTTAAAGAGGTCCAAGTGGCACAGCTGATGGGTATCAGGTGTGATTCCGGGCCTAGTTCTTGTCCCACACAGCATGGTCTTAGGTGTCCCTTCAGTTCCAGAAGTGCCAGCTCTGCTTCTCCTCTGCGGACAGAAGAGAGGCTTTGATGTGGGCGTCTGGGCTGAAGGACACTTCCTCAGGATGGAGCTCTGGGCCTGCTTTGCCTCCTGTGCCTTTCGCTCAGTGTTTGCAAAGGTTTGGAACAGGAGAAGGACTTACCTAATCAGTAGGGTGAGACTTGCACTTTTCCAAGCCTCTCCCCTCTTAGTCTGAGTATAATGATCAGCTTAATGAAAACAGACCTAGGTCCAGGGAGAAAAATAGTGTGGACAGAGACTAGATTGTGTGTCTCTGACTGCCTCCCAAGAGTCATCATATTCCTGGAGGTTTCTTCCTTACGTGGCATGATTTGCTTGCTTCCCTTAACACCTTATAGCACAGCTGACATGATATTGAGACCATTACTAAAGGTAAATAAATCACATACACGAATAAACGGTGTAGATCAGTTTACCCCAAGGTTTAGGATGTTTGATGAAACACTTCTGTTAGGGATTCCTTAAAAAAAGGGTTTGTGATCAGATATTTGGGAAACACTAGGGCTAAACAAAATTAGAAAGATGCTTTGTTTTCTAGTGACTACAGTGTGGTATTCCTTGTAAAACCCCAAGAGCTAGCTGTGGAATTCAGCATTGCCCACTTACTTAACCTCAGAATTCTTTTTTCCCCCGTGGTGGCCCTATTTGTTCTGTAGCATACAGACTGAGGACTGCTTGTGCAGCTAGCTGGGCCTGTCAGCAGAGCTGCTCTCGGGGCTTACTTGATTTGAGCTGTCCATGTGAAGCTTTAGACGGAAAGCCTAGGGTGGCTCCATCTTTCACTTCTTGATGTTCCTTTTCTTCTGCCTTCTGTTGTGGCTGTTCTTTCATCTCCCCCAAATCCTCCAGAACTTCAGTCAATCATGTAGTTACAAGGGCCAGCAGACTGTTTAGGAAGCTGGGAGTAGCGTGGCTTTCAAGTGCTACTCTGTGCCAATCTCGGCTCTTTTGGCAGGCCCTGACAGATTACCGGGCAGAGCTCCGGGACGACCCCATCATCAGCACGCACTTGGCCAAGTTGTATGATAACTTACTGGAACAGAATCTGATCCGAGTCATCGAGCCTTTTTCCCGAGTACAGGTAAGAACCCTCCTGGGGGCTCTTGCCCTTCTCTGGTGGGAGGAGGTTTCTGGCTGGGCATCCTCACTGTAGCCCACCCCCTTCCCACGCCCATCCAAGAGTGTGTGTGGTGGGCAGGAGATTCTCAAGAGCTTGGGGTTTTCTTGACAGGGAATGAGAGTTGAGGAGAGGGATGCTGTGGGGTAGAGGCTGGTGAGCTTGTCCCTGCTTGTTTTCAGTGCAGTCTCCTCCTTGCTTTTGTAGTCACCATGCATGTGGTAAACTCTTTGTTCTGGGTGTGTAGGACAGGAGTGTGTTCATTGTAGTGATGAAGGGCAGGCAGTTGGACCAAGCACAGGAGACTCAAGAATGTCTAAAGAGAATCTCGCCCTGTAGAGACATTTGGCAGAATTCCAAGAAACAGCACCACCCCAACTGTAACATTAGAGGCAAAAATGAAACTGTCAGTGTTGGTGTCTTTTTACCTTTCCTTTTAGATCGAACACATATCTAGCCTCATCAAACTCTCCAAGGTAAGGAGTCCTGAGCTTGTCTTGGGGGTAGGGATGGGGAAGGGGGCATGCTGAGGGGCGGCCAGTTAAACCTGCTGGTCCTTGTTGGAAAGCTCCCAAGCTTCTCAGGAGGGACTGGGGACTGTAGCTCAGAGCTGGAGTTGTATTGTTGCTGTTTTGTTTTCATTCCATTTGCCCTAAGACCCTTTTTGTACGAGGCTTTTGTGTCAGTGTGATCTCTGACTAGTGGATGCTGGTCCCTTTAATCATGTGCTTTGATTTTAGGCCGAAGTGGAAAGGAAATTATCACAGATGATTCTTGACAAGAAGTTTCATGGTGAGTAACCATCATATACAGGCGAGGGGGCTGGTGGTGGTGATGAAATGGTGAAGAGGCATCATGTTCTTGTTTATCTTGAAAGAAGGTGCTCCATTTGTGCCACCTGGTGGTTCCCTGGGATCCTTGTCCCTCTTATCCCTGTGATGAGAGTGTATAATAAACATGCACAAATGGAGCAGGAAGATGACTTCTGTTCCCCTCCTTTCTGGAGAAAGTGAGGCAGCTGGGGAGTGGGCTGCTTCCCAAGTGCTTGTGTGTCTAATCCTTTCTTCTGCCTGGGTTGTGCTTGTGTCTCCTACAGGGATCTTGGACCAGGGGGAGGGTGTCTTGATTATTTTCGACGAACCCCCAGTAGATAAAACTTACGAAGCTGCTCTGGAAACAATTCAGAACATGAGCAAAGTAGTGGATTCCCTCTACAACAAAGCCAAGAAACTGACATAGGTGAGTGCTGGCTCCGGGCCCCGGGCCCGGGCAGCGCTGTCTTCTGCCTGTCGAGACTGAAAGCCTCCTGGTGGCCTGGCGGCTTCCCCGATTGACACTGCTCTGTCTTCTCTTGCAGAGTTGGATCTGTAGCGGTCCTTTGGAGAGTGTGTGTGGCGGGAGAGTGAAACCTTTGGGGAAAATGCTAGGAGATTCTTTTTTCTTTCTGTTCTACTTTTCGCTCGGAAAGTTTTTAAATCCTCATTTGGTGCATCTGTATTCCAGCCGATAGGTGTGCCAGTTTTCATGTAATCTTTACTGGCCCAACTTGGGAGTGGGGAAATTGCTTAAAAAAAAAGAAAAAGAAAAAAAAAAGGTTATTCTAAATAAAAGGAAAAAGGCTTACACTACCTAAAGCTGTGCTCTCTGCCTCCTGGGAGAGGGCCGCAAAGCCAGGCGCTCCGCCAGCCACGGGGGCTCCTAACCCACCGCTGGGCGTCACCTCTCCTCTTCAGAATTGGGTGTTTGCCTGACCATCAAAGCAACGACTTTTTATTCTGTTTGTACTGAACCAAAACAAACAACTGTGTATAGACTGCTGTTTTCTTTTTTATTTGAAACGAGGCGTTTCGGTGTTCTTTCCCCTGCCATATGGCCTGTCCACTCACCCTTCCCCTGAACAATGGCTCCAGCAGACTGGCCGAAGGTCCCGCCGCGCCACCGCAGCAGCAGCGCCCGCACGGCTCCGCTCCGACCTGTGAAGGGATGGGGACGAGGCCGGGAGCTCGTGTCCACTGCGGCCACATGGGGAGCAGGGTGGGCCCTCGGGGGCCTGCTGTGCATGTGGCCCTTTTTAACACAGTAAACTAGATTAGACGTCAGTGTTTTAATTGCCTCCCTTCTCTGCTCTTTTCTCCCCTCCTCTCTTTCCTCTCTCTCACCCAGGAGACCATCCCATTGTCTCTCTTCCTCCTTCCTCCTTCCCTTCCAGGGGAGTCAGGCTGTCTGAAACCCTTCAGCTTCTCTCCCTGTCCCACTGCTCCTGTCCTGCTGTCAGGTGGATTTATTCCTTTTTTAAACAGTGAACATCAGAAATGAGACTGTGGGGTGTGTGGATTTTTCCCCCCTCTCTCTCCCAAGTTTTGTTGTTGGGTTTTTGAGCAACCTCATGTCCCCCTCCCAGGGAGCTTCTTTATTTACCTCTTAGAAATGGAACGAATGGGAGGTAGGGCACTGTACTTCAGCATGCTTTGTTTTATGATGAGATTACATAGCAAGGCTTTCGTGCCATCTGGGCAGGTAAGCTTCTGCACCTCTGTCGTGCTCAGCTATCTTTTCTTCTTCTCATTCCTCTTTGTTTTCTGTTTTTTCCTCCTCCTCCTCCTGCCTCCTTCCTGCTGGCCTCCGTTTATCTTTCTCTTCCTTTCTCAGATTATCCTTCCAGGTTTCCGTAATAAATTTATATTTTGTAAAAGGATTTTGTTGTATCAGGTTTAGCATCCTCACTGAATCTGACTGGCTTTTATTTTCCTCTCCAAAATCAGGTTTTTGTTCTCAACATCTTTCCCCATCATGTCCAGTCACTGTTTTGGTTTTGGCGCCATCAATATCAAATGTACAAACGGTTCTTGCTAACCAACACCAGGTATATCTGATGTTCAGATGAGTTCCAATAAAAACAATTTTTTTTTCAAAAGGTGTCCTTTCTTGAGTGCTGGAGGGCTTCTGATCAAGTCCAGGCAGTTCTGTGTAGCCCTCTAGACTGGACAAAGCCCTACTATCTCATTTGCTTCATGGGAGACCTTTAGATCTGGGGTCAAGTGGAGGGCTTTGGGCGAGAAAATTGGTCTGTAAGGTCTGAGATGGGAACTAGGATTCAGTTATCTTTGTTTTTCCAAGGCATCGTGGTCCAGTGAGGACACAGGGCTTGGGCTGTAATATCCTCACAGCCTGTTCCTCACCTGCATGACGAGAATGGTGCTTCCTTGGCAGGTAATTGTGGTGGGAGGTTACATGAAGTCATGGAAGTACAGGTGCCCGAGAGCCCTGGCATCCAGTTGTGGTTTGGTTTTCATTTGGAATCTTCAAAAGTGTTGATTTTCCTGCTGCCCTTCAGACCCCAGGAACAGTCTGTCCTGAGGGGCTCTGGGCTGCTGGGAGGGGAGGGTGGGCTCTAGCCTTTAATGCCACTTGGGGCTGAGTCACTGTTCTGTGTTTCAGTGTTGTGTCTCTGTGTATAGTTTTACTTAAGGAAGAGCTGTGCTTCAGTAAAGGACTTTGATAATCCAGAGGGATCCAGAGCCAGGGCAGCGGGGAGGGGAGGGCAGCCCAGGAGCTCAGTGGGGCAGCAGCCCTTCCTCTGCTGACTTCCTCTAGACCTGCGCTGTCCAGTGTGGCCACGAACCCCACATGGCTGTTAAGCCCTTAAAATGCGGCTATTTCTAACTGTGTTGCCCTGCGAATGTAAACAAACCAGACTTTGAAGAATGTGAAGAGAAAATGAGAAATTGCTTAACTTTTTTATATATGTTGAAATATTTTGAGCATTTATTGGGTTAAATAAAATTTATTACTAAAATTCACCTGTTTCCTTTTACTTTTTTAATGTGGCTGCTTGGAAATATTAAATGACTTACGCGGCTTGTATTTGTGGCTCACGTTAATATTTTTTTTGGACAGCGCTGCTCTAGACCTCGCAGGACTGCTTCCCCTCCCAGGCTTCAGATAAGCTGAGTCTAGGCGCAGCCAAGAGGGTGGGGTGGCCCATGGGCTGGCGCTTGCTTGGCTCCCTCACTTAGGGACCCTTGCTGGCACCAGCCTTCATGGTGCCAGGGCTTCCTTATGTGTTAATGAGATACTGGTGGTGGTGGGAGTGGCTGGGGCGGGTGGCTGTGGAGCCCCGCTGCAGGTGAGAGTTATGTAATCTGCACTGCCCAGAAGGGCCGCTAGATGCTGCTCTGTGATGCCTGAGAGAACAAAGCGCCACTTCCTCAGGAGCCAGGGCTCAGCCCTGCTTTATTTGGAGCCCTTTCTGGGAGCTGGCTGGCAGGGATCTTGACCTCCCTTCCTGAGAGTGGTATGGGAAGGGGGCATGCAGAGGACGGCGGCTCTCCGTGGACATCCCAGCCCAGCAGCGCATGTGACCAGCAGGCTGGTCCTTCCGGCAGCTAGAGATAGGCTATAGGATAAAGAGGCTGATTGATGGGGGTGGGACTTGGAGAGCTTCCCTGCAGTTCTCTGGTGAAGACTGGGAAGAAAACAGCTGTGCCTCATTCAGCTGGGTCTGCCTTCTGGGCCCTCGATTCTGCCATTTTTGGCAGATGGTTGCCCTTCCTTTCTTCGCTGTTGGAGCAGTGATGGGAGCTCGAGGCTGGTGGTGGTGGTGGGGTTGAGTGAGCAGAGGAGTGGTGTGGTGCCTTGAAACAAGCCGAGCAGTCACGGCACAGGGGACAGGGGTCCAAACCACCCTCCTCCTCAATCACGACAGCCAGTGTGCTGGCAGTGCCATGCCATTCATGCTCCTCTGCATGTGACTTTGCCTCTGACATGGGTGAGGACGTTAGGGTAGTTCTGCCAAGAGCTCTTTCTGAATGAAGGTGCTAGGAAAGGGCGTCCGGACAGAGGCAAGAGGGGGACACGAGGCTGGAAAAGGCCCAGGCCAATGCAAGCTTCCATGGGTTGTGAAATGGGGTGGGGTGAAGTGTAGGTTGGTACTGCTGCCATGAACTAGGATAGTTAGAACTGAAATTTGTAGGTACAGGTAACAGGGTGGGTCCAGATCGTTCTAAGGGGTGTATTCCAGGCTCAAAAATCCAAGCATATTTTGGAAAGTGGAAAGCATTTTAACCTCTGCTCAAATCCAGAATCTGAAGGGGAACTTGAGACACAGGAAAGGCAATGTGGACATGGGCCTCCACTAGGGGCAGGATGAAAAAAGATTGGGGTTCAGCTTTGCCTTAGGAAGAGAGTCACTGGGCCAGTGGACCTGGAGGAGATTAATTCTTGGCGCTTAAAGTAAACTATAAAGGAGGGCTGAGGACAGCTCCATTTGAATAGCAGGTTGGGGTTGTAGACTGAGGAGCCTCCAGAGGAAGGGGCACATTGAGCTAAGAATCTGCCTTCATCTTCTGAGTTAAGATGGAAGCTGCTGTGGATGTTTCTGAAGGGTCCTAGAAGAAATAGCCTTCTGGGTACAGAGCAGTGTGTTTTCCCAAGGTCCCCAAAGCTTTCAGTTGACACTGTTGACAGAGAAATCTCTGGATTAGTACATTCGCAAATTCTAGTACTTTCTGATGATGGTAGCATTGTTTTGAATGATGCCAGATTTCTGTTCTGCTTAGGGCAGTAGGCAGAGCTGGCACAGGTTCTGTGCTGGCGTGGTTGGAGTCAGGATTGGGTCTTCTCTGGATTGCCACTTCCTCATCACTGGTTCCAGAGGTGGTAATTTGGATTGATAAAGATTAAGGTTCCTGTTTCGCAGGTTTCTGGTCAAATTTGAGTCTATCTCCAGAACCAAACTAAAAGAATAACAAATGAATGGCCTTTGTGAATGATCTGGATTCTTGTTCTTATGAGAGGAACAATTATTAGAATTTTACTTGGAACTTAGTAATTTTACTGGTACCAAGTCTTCAAATTTATACACACTTAGCATGAAGAACATTTAAATCAACAGTTCAGAGGCTGGTTGGAGGAGCATTTGCCTGAGTTTTATTATAACAGATAAGAGGGAAAGTGGAAATTTCGAGGTCACAGTTGTGATGGGCTCAGTTTTGGCCCATCTCTGGGGCAGCGACCTAGCCAGGAGCCTCAGGGCCTTGTCCCTGGTGTGGTGTGGGAAAGTCGCTCTTTGTGGAACGGCCTAGAACTGCCTACGCCTCTGGCCTAGATTTCTGAGACCTACCCGGGCCGTGGGCATTCCTGGAATGGGGCAACGGAGGTCCCGCAGGGAAAGGCCCTCAAACTGATGGGACAGCGCCTTCGGGATGCGCATGGCCCTCAGACGGCCTCAGCAAAGGCTTCGCCTCTCATCTTTCCCAGGGGACGAGGATGTTAAACTGAAGGAGGCTGCTCAGGCCCCGGCCTCAATGGGTGGCTTCGGGGGTGGCAGCCT